AGTAGTTGATAAATGTTATAATGCAATGAAAGACGTACAGATTTCTTTAGAAATATCTATATATCACATGCATATGAACAAAACGATAAAGTAAATGGAACTTAATTAAGGGTTTTACCTGATGCAGACATTTGACTACATTCCTTTAGATTATGGTTATGTTTTAGCAATAACTGAAATCAGGATATTTAATACAGAAAAGAACATTGTGGAACCCATTGTAAACAATTATAAATGGCCTGGCATTGGTTTAAACTGAGACGAGTGCCATATGGAGAATTTGATTTGGTTGCTGTTGCTTACCGCACATCATTGTCAATGGCTATTACCTTGCCACTGCCTGAACAAAAACAGCAATCTGGTGCCTCTCAGTTACTGTAGGTCTACGACTTTAGAGCACACTGTCCATATCCATCTGTCTTCATTATAGAACCACAGATTTTTAGTGTGAGTTTTATGTGGGTCTCCAGAAAACAACATTGTTGGTGTAAATTCCTTTCTAGGGGGCCACATGCTGGTGGATTTTATACCACAAATTTTCCTTTTGTTGTACTGGATCTTTTTTGTTTAGATGTTTTTCTTAATTTCACATTAAGGGACACAGAATGTAATTCAGGTACACAGGGTTATGCTGCTGTCTTCAGTAGACTGGACACTGGCAAACAAAGCGGTAAAGACACTAGAGTATGACTCCTCCCACTCCTATCATACCGCCCACTCCCATCATGCCTCCGTTTTGTAGCAAGCAATAGTAGGAACCTGTGTCCCTTTAATGTACTGCAACAAAAGTATTTTACAGTAAGTCAAAAACTCTTATTTTAATTGCACATTAAGGAACACAGGATGTAATTCAAGCATATAGGGATGTCTAAAAGAAGTCTAACTGAGGGGTGGGCAACACAGCAAACAACAGACCCCCGTGGAAAATAGTGCAACATAAGGAGCTCAATATAGCAAACAAGGTTGGCAAACAGAGCTATAAAGACAACCTGGTTTAACCTCTCCCACTCACACCATGTCTCAGATTTTTGCTACTGTTCTAGGGGAATGGACATCTTTCTCTGCTCTAAGAGCAGCAAAATAATTCTTACTTTTTTCTGCTTATATCAAGACATTTTCTCTTCTGTCAAGATTCCTCAGTTCCTGCAGAGCCACTGTGGTTTACCTTGCAGCTTTCCGGATCGGCTGACCTCAGCATAGCCCCAAGCCAGTTAAAACCTTCCCTGTACACTCCTGGATCCCTGAATCCTGGATCTATCCTAATGGGTCCCTCTGTCTTCCACCAGCTTGAGCTCATGTATGTGGCCTAATCTGTTTTTCCACCCTGCAGATAAGGAGGACGATATTAACAAACGAATCAGGAACAGCAAAGAAGGTTCATTGTCCAATGTTTGCAATTTCCCATAAATAGCAATAATTTTTTGTTTATTAATATACATTATTTGCAAGTTAAAGGAGTAGCCATGGGGGCTAAATATACCTAAAGTGTGGCAAACATTTTCATGTCCAAATGGGAGGAGGAGTTTATATATGGGGTAAGTGGCCAAATCTCAAGTATTGGAAATGCTAATTAGACAATATTTTTATTTTATGGAAAGGAACCCCTGAGTCATTGGAAAAGTTCTTTGGGTGTAATAATGATAATAAATACGGGATCAACTTTACTGGAGGATGGAGTTTGAGATGTTATTTTTCTTGGATTTAGTTGGTTTTATGAATAAGGATAGGATGTGTACTGAAAAACCTTTTTTAAACAGACTGATAGAAATAGTATATTGAAACCACTAGTTGCCACCATCCTAGATCGATCCTGAGTATTCCTAAAGGTCAAATACTGAGAATTTGTATGAATTGCAATAATCTAGATGATTTTAAAGAACAAACTAAAATAATTATGGATATATTTGATCATAAAGGATATAAAAGACACAAACTAGAGGGTTTATGTTAGAAGATAGAGAAAATGGATAGAGAGGACCTTCTTCAGAATAAACCAAAGGAACAAAAAAGAAAAGGCAAAAAAGAAAAGGCAAGTTCGATTTTGCCTTCATTACAGATTTTAGTGGACGATATAAACAAGTAGAACATATTGTCGAACTCTATTGGCCAATGCTTTAAAAAAAAAATATTGGGCACCCTCCTTCCTACAACTCCTAAATTAGTCTATAGAAGGACTTCTAGACTGTCAACAAAATCAATTAGTGAAAAATGTGATTGATTCTCCATTAAGGAAACCTATGTTTTTTGGCCGTCATGGCTTTCATTTTTGTCGGAGATGCATAGCCGGTAAGACTGGGGAATAGTAGTACAGGTATAAAATATGAGATAAAGAACCTCATATCATGTAATACTACCCATGTTACCTACCTGCTGGAATGTCCGTGCGGTCTCCAATACGTGAGAAAGACTATGAGAAAAGTGTCAGTGAGTGTAAGGCAATATATAAATAATATTTAGAAAGGCTATGAAAAACATAGTTTATCACATCATTCTATGGAAGTGCATAACAAAAACCCAAGGGGGATGAAATCTTGTGGTATAGATAAAATATATAAGCATGGGAGGGGTTCTGATCTGAAAAAAGAGCTCTCTCAAAATGATGTAGAAACAGTTTAGGAACTTGACACTTTATACCCTAAAGGTTTGAAAATATACATAGATTTGAGTTGTTTTATAGCAAATTATTGAATTATAATAGGAGTTGCGTAGTTTTGGATGTTTGTTTTAGTGCATTTATGGCCACAGCAGTTTTATTTTTCCTGGAGTTTTGTATTGTTTATAGTGTGCTGTTTGGATGGCATTGCTCTCTTTTGTACGACTTTTTATGGTTTCCTGTATGCGTTCCACATACATGTGTACATGTGTTGCGTCTATTTATGGCATAATGCCCGTCCATATATGTATATATGATAGTACCACATACTGAGTTCTATATATGCATATTTTGTATGATTTATATTTACCTTGTAATGTTTTATGTAGTTTTTATATTGTATGCAGTGAGTTTTATAGCCCTGGTCTATATTTTATAAGATATGTGTAGCGGGCATAGCAGGGCTGCTATGCTCAAGGATTTGTGCAGTGGGTGGAGTAGGATTAATGTATTCAATGGGAGAGTCCTAGGAAAGTATTTGTTTAGCTGAGTGAGGATGGATAGTGCTCACACCGTTGCTGATGACATCTCTATTGACGAAGCGCTTTGAGCGGGTCTGAGCACTGTCACGCATAGACGAGCGGCGGACATACTGTTCGGGGACTACATCCAGAATTAAGCGATTTTTGCGCCTTACCATAATACAGATATACATTCATCTCTTTGATGGGTGTGGAGTAATATGTGACAAGGAGGACTGATGCCAGGGAGGAGACCTGGAGTGTTTTGGCTTCACTTGGGGTTCGGACTCTTTACCTTCTTATGTAAGAGATAACATATCATTTGGTGAGTGTTTGCCCATAAGGCTTAGGATTTTTTTTTCCACAGAGGATTCTATCTTGGTGGTTCACAATATCACTGGCATTTTAAAGTGGAATGATAAATACATTTGTATATAGGACTATCTTATACTAAAAAATATATGTTTTCACGTGTGATTTTTTTATTTGGTTTTACTGTGATTTGTCTGTGAATGCGGATTTTGTTATTTTGTGTTTATATTATTTGAAGCATTTATTGTTCACATTCACGTGGGTGATGAGCCATTTTAGGGGGTTATTATTTAACAATTTATGGTTTTAGGGTTTTTAGCTCTGCATTTAGGATAATTGTCTTTATATACTATGGTATTTATACAGCAGTTGTTTGAGGGTAGTCACATTTTTAGTAGGTAGCTCACACTTTGGATTTATTTACTGCTTTTCTGATGCCAACTTCTGTCGTAAGGTTCTTCAGGCAGCTCAGTCAGCTGTATTGAGCCCCTTATGTTGTCCTGTTGTTCACGTCGCTGTTTGCAGTTTTGCCCACCCCTCAGTTGGACTGCTTTTCAACATCTCTATATACTTGAATTACATCCTGTGTGCTTCAATGTACAATTAAGAAAATAGGGCTTTTGACTTACCATAAAATTATTTTCTTAGCGTATACTAAGGGACACCGGTAAGTCAAAAATCCTATTTTTATTAAGTTTTTTATATACTGAATACAGCAAATTAAATTACAGTGTGTAGTATTAACAGTAACATGGGGAGTGTGATACTACAAAGTATACAATACATGGGAGGTTAAAATAAAGAAGTTTAACAGTTGATCAGATAACCCAGATGTTGGATTAGAAAGTGTAAGGATATAATTTATCTTGTACTATATTTTACGTAAGTTTTATTGATGTCTGCTTTAAAGAAAAATCCAACAACATGATTAGTATATTGGCCATTGGGGAAAGACATGTGTTAGACAACTCTGGAATTTTGAGAAAGCTGGTTGGATGACCAGTGAAACGTCTTCAAGAAAAATGCAGCAAGTCCAGTTGCCTTGACCTAATGTTTACAGATAACCCTGGAATTTGCAACCAGTATATTGACAATAGAAATTAAAAAAAAAAAAATTATTTCTGAATTTTGATGTTTGGGTCTTGACTGTTACGGTGTCCATAGACATGAAGTGACCATCAACTATCCAGCACTTTACTGTCAGGCTAGAAAACTTTCATATATCAATGCACAATCTGCCTTGCTGACTGATTTCAGGGGAAGAGTTGAGTGGCCACTTTCGAGCTTCAATGCCAATCACTATTGTTTCCCTCTGATAAGAATACTTGTGTGTTTAGTACTTGGTGCGTACACATACATATTCAGCTAATACAAGCATGCATTCTTATACAATAATTCTAAAACACGTCTCCTAAATATAGGCACCTTTGGACTTTGTACTCTGATTAGTTTCTTCTAAGCTCATACTGGTGTTGCCATATATAGTTATACATAAAATATATAATAGTAGTTTGATAAATACTTTTTGTTTGTTCCTGTAGTTGTGAGTAATTTTCTTTTTGTCTTTTTTTAAGGTTTTATATCAACAATTCAAATTTTTCTTGAATCTGTATTTTCTGGTAGTGTCCTGTTCACAGTTTGTACCTGCTCTGAAAATAGGCTACCTATACACCTACTGGGCACCACTGGTAAGTACCTCTTGTCTCACTTTTTTAATACATTGGTTATTAAAAGGATAGAAAATATATTTTGTACCCTTGTTCTAGACCAGGGATCGTGTGTATTGTATTTAGCTATTGTACTAAATAATTATTTTGACTCAAACAATAAAGAGTTAACTAGACATATTATAACCCATTAGGGAAAGGTTTTTGTGTACCAGATTACTGTATCTACTGTTTTACTTGTCCTGAGTCAGACACTTTGACCTTTGTATTGATCATTTATAATATGCTGTTTTAGTAAATTGGATTTAGTCAGAGGCATGTTTGTAGTTTGTTTTTTTATTATTTTAATTTTTATGCTGATTAACAGCAAATTTAGAAACAAATGACAAAGAACATTGTGTGAACAGCTGCCTACTGTTTAATACAAGGTTTGGGTTCATTTAAAACAAGATGATCCCAAGAAATATGTAGGTTAAGTGTTAGAACAAAAGTGCCATGGTGATTCACATTTTGGTTGAAGCACACAGTTTTTGTAAATCTGGACATAATGTTTTCTTAAAGCACAATGGCTCCTCTTTTTGTTATTTGTGTGAAAGAGCAGGGGAGTGGTAATACCTCTCTCTTTCGTTGCTTCCCATTGTAATTCTTCACCTGTTGGGGTTCACTGACTTAAAGTAGAACCAAAGCCAAAGCTGCTTTTTTGTTTTTGTTTCGGATAGAGTAAGGGAAGCTTTTTTACCATCCGTGTTGCACTGGGGAGATTTCCCTTCACATCCTGTCTGTTGGCCACAACAGGAAATGACGTGAGGGAAATTCCTGGTGGTCATCAGGATCACTGGACCTAGTGTCCCCATTGTAACATTTCCTATCCATTCTTGTTCTTGTGGGAACCCAACATTTGAGATTTTCTTTTACATTCACTTCCAGTGATAACATTTACCTGGACAAATACAGAGGGTGAATCACCCTAATGGGCACCCAGAGCAATAAAAACCTGACAGGTCTTCTAATCCTTCTCAGCTCTATGCAAAACTAAACAAAGTTTCATCAAAGTTTCACTTGTTGGGGTGCAAGTTTGGAATCAAAGAAACATAAGCCTGTGAATGAAGCAAGTTTCTACTTGTCCGTGCCAATACATTTCTGATTGTGTAGAAAAGCGTGCCCTCGGCTGGTGCTGCGGCTCCTCCTGATGACACCTACGTAGCTACTATGTCCCGCAGTAACTAGAGGTGAGCAGAAGGAACCACTAGTTGGTCGGGGAGCACACTATTCAACACACCAGAGGTGTCAAATAGTATTGTTTTAAAGGCCCACCTGAAAATTAAACTTTTTTTAGTTTTTTTTTTAAAGTTTTTATTACCGTCTCTGTCCTCATTGAGATTTGCCCTCACGTCCTGTGTCAGGATATTCTATTTGCGTTAAGGTGTAACAAGGTATCACCAGGACAGGAATTGAGGAAAATCTCCCCAGTGGGCTGTCAATAGTGCTTAATGATATAAAATTAAAAAAGGACCTTAAACCAAGAAACTCGCAGTCTATATCCATACTGCCATATTTTTAGCATTATAAAGAACAATCATTTAAACATTCTTTTGGGACCGTTGTTTTACTTAATGCAACATTTGGTAATAAATAGAGCCCTGTGTATGCACACATGTGGAACTTTTTTACTGATAAATGTGAATAATTTTTAAGGGTAAAGAAAACATTAGGCATATTTATATTCTAACCAGTTTCTTCGCACTTCACTGGCTGCACCGTTTACAAATATGACAGTCAGGAAAGCATGGATCTGTAAAACTCGGACACCTGGATGGTTTCAGCATATTGAAGAAGAAAGGAAAATAAGAAACCCAAATGTATGCAGGAAGTTCCATTAATGATAACTATGATTAAAAATGTTCCTAAAGCGACTTTGTCACTTACCCAAAATTCCTTAAAAATGTCATGTCTGCAAACAAGCATAGGAATTCTTACTCCTTCTGCTGCCTTCGCAACGGAACGCTGCTCCAATGCAAAGAAATCCTTGAGTGAATTCTCTCCTTAAACCCACACTTCCAAACCCACACTGGCATTCTTACTGTAAAGCAGCGCTTTAATTGAGCAACTGAGGCTTTGCCATGGCCCTAGTTACCCATTGAAACAGGGAGAGATTAGTAACAGGGAGATACCCAGTGCATATCCAGGACCCAGGTATCCAGTGGTATGATAGGACTATTGTCATCAAAGAATAATTTTACATTGTATTGATGTTGTCCAGGTACATTAAACCATGATGGTTGGTGCTGAGGCACCACAAGCAAAAAAAAACAATTTTTCATGTTGAATAAGATTTTAAACCCGTCAGCATTTTATTCTTGTGTCCACATGAGGGGAATTTTCTGTAATTTTCGTGCCCAAGTGACAGGCACCTGTCAGGACAGGGAGAGAAGAGAATGCCCTCGGTGGGGACACAGGCAGCATTTAAAATCTTTATAAAGTTCATACCGTTCTCTAATCTAACCGAAAATTAGATGAAATGTTTTGGTAAAGGTTGAGTTTTAATCCATGCCATTACTGCGATGTATGTTTACAGTATTTAATTATAATGTGTCTAATTATGTGCAACTTATTTGTTAGTTTTCAAAGTGGTTTTTAAAATGCTCACCAGACAAATTATCATGTGTGTTTCTGTATATTTCAGGGGTTTGTTCTTACAGTTACAATGGTAAGAGAAGCAGTTGATGAGTATCGTAGATTCAAACGGGACAAAGAAATGAATTCCCAGCTATACAGCAAGCTTACCATTAGAGGTTAGTAATGTTTTCTCTGGTTATTTTACTTTTGAGGAAGAGCTCCAGACCATTGAGAATGCATAATGTATGTCAACTGTGGGTCAACTTTTACTGTCCTTGGGAAAGAAATTGAAAATTTTTTCTCAGCACAACATACTGTAGTGAACAAACATGAACTATATAAAGCTATACTATGCTGTTGATTAATGAATTAGTAACTTTGCTTGCTTTAATTGATGCAATCTGTGCCATCAGTCAGCATTATGTAATAGGGTAGGGGAATAGAGGCAAAATGTTCCAGATTGTCAGAATCTGAGCTGCAGGTTAGTTCCACTGCCTTTGTCGGGAAAGGGGTAAAGTCTGAATTAATTGTATTTTGTTATCTCGGGTCCTGATTCGTTTTAAATTATGTCCTTCTTTTCCATTACGCCGTAGTTAATGTTTATGTTTGTTTTAGGACTGTCAGCTGTAGCTGCTGAGATGGGTCTATTGTGGTTTATGAGTGTACAGTGTACAGATAGCTTTGGCATATCTTGTACACCCTGGCCGCCTTCCCCTTTGTGAACACTGTACCGGGAGAATCCACCTTGACAGTTGGGTCCTGATTTCTACTGCATTTCTTTTACCTAGCCTTTAAACTTTTTGCATTAGTTTTTTTGCTAGTGGCTTAGGAGTTTGTAAGCTTTTTCCTCAGCTCTACGGAGAAAAACCATATTAAACTATTTAACTGGGTCATTGATAAATGTTACATGCTCTATATTATTTCCAATCGGATTGCCACAGTACGCTCTGCTATGCGTCTAGAAGATTGGTCTGCTGAACCAGGAAGTTATGATGTTTGTATAAAAGGAACTTCTTTATTTTATATACAACATGTCATTAAAATATTCAAGTAAAAAACATCAAATTCATGGAATGATGATTGTGGCTACAATGTATATATGTATATCACCCTCATCCATAGAGATAGTATTTGTGCCAAAAATGAGCCACCTTGCCCAGTATGCCTGTTAAAATCAGGGGGGCGAAACACAACAGCGCTAAGAGTATCTCATGCAAAATGTAATAACTGCTCTACATTAAGAGGGTTATTCACAAAGCTAGCCGAAGGATCTTTCAGCTAGCTTCGGCCGCCGGAGCCCTTCGGTTTAGTAGAACCGAAGGGCTGCTGTATGGGCTATTCACTATAGCCCATACAGCTCCCGAAGCTGGCCGAGTGGCTCAGCCGAAAGCCGAAACGGGCCGAAAGCCTCGCAACTGTCAGCTGGGCGGTTACCTGGGGATGCTGGACTGTCATTAAACAATGACAACTTGGCGGTGCCGGCCGTGACGCCACTGCTGGCTCCGCACAATTGTTTTTCATTGGCTGGACTCTAGCAGGTCCCGGCCAATAAGAAACCGTTGGGCAGAGCTAGCTGCCACTGCTAGCTCCGCCCCAATTATTTCTTTTATTTTTTTTATTTTTTCAATAGTCTTTAATTTTTTTCTTTTTAAATATCTTTTTTTTTAAATGTATCATTTATTTACATTTTTTAAAACTTTTTTTTTTCTACTTTTTTCACAGTTTTTTTCTATTCTGCTGGGTAGCACGGAGGTACCGAGCAGAATATTCGCGCTGCTACCGATCAGCGGCATTCGGCTATTCACTCACTGATGTTCGGCCCCTAATGAGAAGAGGAAGAAACGGCAGCGAGTAGCCTGCCGGAGGTTCGGCTCAGCCGGTCCAGATGTTGGATCGGCTGAGTCAAACTCCTTTTTCACTTCAGCGTAGTCGAACATGCTGAGCATGTTCGGCTAAACCGAAGCCAGCAGAAGCAAGCCGATGTACGGTTGATTGTACGACTGAAATCAGCTGTACAAGCCTGAAGTGAATAGCTGAACAGTGTTCGGCTCACTTCACTTTGGGTGGGTTATTCACTCGGCTGCCTTTGGCAGCTTTGTGAATAACCCTTTAACCACTTGAAGTCCACGGTGTTAAACCCCCTTCCTGCCCAGGCCATTTTTCAGTATTCAGCGCTGTGGTACTTTGACTGATATTTATTCCGTCATGCAACGCTGTACTGAAATGAATTTTATACCATTTTTTGGGGACAGATAGAGCTTTTTTTTGGTGGTATTTAATCACCACTGGGATTTTTATTTTTTACTATATTAAGGAAAAATTACAGAAACTTAAAAAAAAAAACGTTTCCCTATATTAAATTATAAAACATTTATTATTACCCAATTTTTTGGTAAAATATAAAAGGCGGGGTCACGTCGGGTAAAAAGACACCAAACATGTCAAGCCTCAAAATTGTGTGCACGCGCGAAACCTCAAAAAACTACAATACCCAAAATTGGCCATAGGCGACGCTTTAAAAGCTTCTACCACTCATCAGTTAGTGTTATCAGTGATTGATGGCCCTAAAATTATTGCTCACACTCCTACGTTTGCGGCGATATTTAACATGTGTAGCGCAATGTCGTTTTCGCGCGCTGACGCATCTGCTTATTTACGTTTATATGTGCGTAAACGTGGGGGAATTAAACTTTTTTTTTTTTATATGCGACTTATTTTTTTAAACTTTTTTTATTTATATTTATTTATTGTTTTATACTTCTTGTTATTGCTCTTACATCGGGGGATAACAATCTCCCTATATAATAGCAAAGACACACTGACAGGTCCTCTTTATGGAGACATTGGGGGTCTCTAGGACCCCTAGTGTCACCTGGGGACCCTAAAAGAAGCTGATGAAGCAGGGATCTGCTTCATCAGCTTCTTTTCTCTGGCTACAGCAGCCAGATGACTGACAGGTGATTGTGGAAGTGATGTAATACACATCACTTCTTCATTCAGACCTAGGAGGAAGATGCTGATCTTCCTCCCATCTTACCTCCTGACTCCCTAGATGGCGGCACCCGCGATCGCGCGCATGGGGGGGGCCTCCGAAATTCACGCCATACAACCGATCGGCGGCTATAGAGCCGCTGATTGGTTGTATGTGAAACAGGCGGCAATGGCTGTAAAGAATGGGCAGGTTTTTCCTGCCCGGGGGCGCGCAAGCAGGAAAAAAATGCCGGGCGGACGGCAGGAGGTTAAGTGTGCCAACAGCATATGAAAAAGCAGAAGAGCCTGATTGTTGGTGATAAAGTAGAAAAGTGGATCACATACAAGCCCGTGTGAGAGGAGGTGGGCTCTCCCTCTCAACGCCAATCCACTTTTAAACACACACGAGCTGAGATGATGATGCTTCTATGGTGGCTGTGCATGCTCAGTATTGCCCCCTCTTTCCCCACACATGTACAGTAAAGTATGTCTGTTGCAGCAATATGGTGTTGATATACCATGCATGCACAATAACATGCCAGCTCTGAGGCCAAAAATTGAGCTGCGATGTGGCCAATAGCATTTAATACTGACCGCTTCAGTCTTCAACAAAATGGCATTCCATCCATGGTGTACATTTTATAAATGGTGTTAAGCGGTGCAGAAATGCTGCATTTTTACACAACCATACCGCAGTGTGATGGTGTGAATAGGACACACAAAATTCAATTGTTTTCCATTTGCACTTGTGTTGAGCCTGCGTTGGACATCTGAATGAGCCCAATTACCAAAAAATTAGAAAAAAAAAATCTATATATGATTATATATACCCCAATGCTGCCGTGTGTTGTAACACTTTATTCTGCGCTGTGTTGCATAAAAATTCAGACATGCCGTCTGCATTTGTATGCAAAACACATCAACACACTTGTATGGTGTGAACAGGGCACATAGAGGACAGTTGTTTCCTCCGTGTCCTTGCACTGAGCCTGTGTTGATCTAGATGATCAACGCACTTAAACGCACCTGGTGTCAGCGAGCACTTAGTTTTGCGGCTGCAGAGGTTAATACAAAATTGTTTGCAATGAAAATAAATCATATATTTTTATTGTGCAAAAAAATACCTCTAATTAGCTTTATTATATTAATACTAATGTTTAAGGGGCTTTCTATAATACAATTAAAAATAAAATAGGGCTTTCTATGTGTTTTCAATTTAAATTCATGTATGTGGGAAGAATAACATATGACCTTTCTATCAGAAGTTTCCTCCCAGGAATATCTGTGTGCATCCCTGAAAAGCCTTCCCTGCTCTTCTCTACAGCCTTTTCTCCTCATATCATGGCGATATTTCATTTCTCTGCTGCTTATCATAGTATATCATGGTGATAAATTGGCCATTTAAACAGGCTCAAAAGCAGTCAAACCATGATAAAGCAGGATTTAAAGTTTGTCTTGGCTAAGTTGGCCAGATTTTGGTGTGTTATTTTAAATAAAAGTTTGGTTATTTTATTATATTGGCTTGGAGTTTTTGTTAAATCCAACGAATTACAATGTCTAATATAATACATACATTTATAAAAATTTTTTTTTTTTATAAATGAAAAAAGATGGAAAAAAAAGTCATTTTCGGTTTTGGCCTGAAAAATTCTGCTGTGGGAGGTACGTTGCCGCTGCCATTCATTTCAATGGCGCCCCACAATGACATGCGTTCCATTGTGGTGCGATTGCAAAGAATTGTGTATGCAGTTTTATTCTGAAGTAAACTTTGTTTGTAACACTCCAATTGTGTATTTTACTTTAAATTAAGGATGATGTTAATTTTTTTTTTATATGATTAATCGAAAAAATAATCGGCCAATTAATCGATTATGAAAATAATCGTTAGTTGCAGCCCTACGAACCCCACACTCTCACCACTTTTTAATTATCCACCCCCTTTTCTCACCACTTTGCCAGGCCCCCTCCTCTGGTTTGTTACTATCTGCTGTCCTCACTCTCATTTAAGGACACAATGAAGATCGGAAGATTTTTAACGCAGGGTTATACGACCACCTGCACCATTAGGACTCTAGGATCAAAATGCAAAGAGCAGCTTAGGAACAGCTCTGCTGCTGGCCAACTATACTCCCCCCACCACCATTTTCTAACACAGCCTCAGTTTATGCCTAGAATCAAGAAGTTAGGACCTAAGTATCCATTCTGT